AAAAAAAAAAAAAAAGAAAGGCTTCTGTGAGGAGCTGTTCACCAGAGGCTCACGCCTGTCATCCTAGCTTCTCAGGAGGCTCAAATCTGAGGATCGTGGTTCGAAGCCAACCCAGGCAAGAAAGTCCATGAGATTCTTATCTCCATTAAGTACCAAAAAGCCAGAAGTGGAGCTATGGCTCACGTGGTTGCATGCTAGCCTTGAGTAAAAAAAAAAAAAAAAAAAAAAGCTCAGGGACAGTGCTCAGGCCCCAAGTTCAAGCCTAGTACCGGCAAATAAAAAATGAATAAAATTAAAATTAAAAAAATAAATTTATAAAAAAAAATAAATTTATGTGAGCTATGCGTCCATATGGATCAAGAGGTTTCCTGAAACTTTCTGCCCTTACACCAATGTTGCACAACACCACCAACCGATCCTTTTACAGAAGAAGAAACAGAGGCTTCCATGAGCCAAGAGTTTTCCCAGAAGTCTCTTTCTGTATAGTGGAACAACAATCATTTTATGGAAGAAAAGTTTCCCCGAGCCCAGGGCTTCCCTAAAGGTCTCAAACCACGGTGACCATCAAGTCTGTGTTAGGAAGCAGCAGCAAACCCCCAGGCTCTTGGGTGGGGAGGGCCACCTTCTCACAGCCTACATGCCCAATGCCCCCATGTGGGCCATGCCAGCAGAACATAGAGAGACCAGCACAGAACAAGCATTGAAGAAATGCCGGGGGCTGGGTGCTGGCGGCTCACGCCTGTCAGCCTAGCTACTCAGGAGGCTGAGATCTGAGGATCACAGTTCAAAGCCAGCCCAGGCAGGAAAGTCCGTGAGACTCTGATCTCTAATAAACCACTCAGAAAACCGGAAGTGGTGCTGTGGTGGCTCAAGTGGTAGAGTGCCAGTCATGAGCTGAAGAGCTGCGGGACAGCACCCAGGCCCAGAGTTTAAGACCCAAGACCAACAAAAAAAGAAAAAGAAATGCCGGCAGGGGGCCAGCAGGGAAGTCGTGATTGCAAAAGAGCCCAAAAAGCAGAAACCCCAAATAACGATACAGCATCCATCTGTCTTTCCCCACCGCCCTGGCTCTCTCCCCTGGCCTGGGCAGCCGCCTTTCACTTGTACATTCTTCAACAACAACAACACGCAGAGCTCGGAAGCACGAAACAGAAGATAGTTCATTAAATGCAATTAGCCCACGGTAAGCCACGGTAAGCACAGATAATGGCACTTAATAAAAATGCCTGGGTTCACCACACGCATTTCTCTGCCCAGAAGAAGAAATGTGCTGATTTCAAAGACTTGATTACTGAATCGTAACCCTGGTCATAGCCTTTGTGTATTCAAATAGCAACAGAAAAAAGAAACAAAAACAAAAACAACTACCAATCAGATGAAATAAAATCCACATTCATCCCAGAAGAACAAAACCATACTGTTGACTGAACACATGAGAAAAGCAAGTTGTATTTGATACTGCTCAGATATTCCTTACTATCAGTGCCAGTTGGCATTGAACACTGTCAAGAGAAATGAAGAAGTCCATATATTTCAGCACAAAGAAGAAAAAAGATGTTACATTATGAATGAGTGGTTTTAAAAAATCATAATAAGTGTAATGAATAGAGCAATTTGAAAGGAGGCAACTGAACTCGAAATTTCTACAGAAATGGGAAGAAAAAAAAGAGGAAGTTACACTTTACCTAGAAGCAGGAGAGCAGAAAGAACATGCATTTCTTGGTCTCTCGCCGTCCTAAACTATTGGGACAAGAATGACCAGCTCAGCTCCCGCCAGCCTCACCTAACCCTGCAAATTCTTTCCTAAAAAAAAAAGCTCTCCTCAGACAGAGGTACTTTCAGAGGCGTTATATAAGCAAAGACACACAAGGCCATTCAGTGGCACGGTGTGCGCTTCTGCAGCAGTGCCGCTGCGGACACATCCACCTATGTCCCTCGGGGCGGCCGGGGTCTCAGGGGAGAACTTAGTGCTGGTGACTCCCTTCACTGCCCGAAGCATGGAAAATGTCCAGTGCAAAGCTACACACAACTAAACTACTGAACGTCAAACCACGTTTTTTTGGGGAGGGGGGGAGGGTGTGGGATAAAAGATTCCTGTTGAACAGTTCATTAACCACCTGAAATATTTTTAAACCTCATATGTCTGCTTCTCTTGACCTCTTTTTCCAAATTCTGGAAGGATGAGATGAGGATTATTTATTTATTTATTTTTGGGTCCAGTCATGGGGCCTGAACTCTGGGCCTGGGCACTGTCCTCAGCTCTTCAGCTCAAGGCTAGCGCTCTACCACTTGAGCCACAGCGCCACTTCCAGCTTTTTTCTTTTTGCTTATGTGGGGCTGAGGAATCGAACCCAGGGCCTTAGGCATGCAAGGCAAGTGCTCTACCACTGAGCCACCTTCCCAGCCCCAGGATTATTTTTTTGTGGAGGGGGGGGTTAATCACTTGTGGGACTTGAACTCAGGGCCTGAGTGCTGAGCTCTTTTTTTTTTTTTTCCTCAAGGCTAGCACTCTACCACTTTGAGCCCACAACTCCACTTCCGGTTTTCTTTTCTGATGGTTCATCTCACCAGCTTTGCTGCCTGGGCTGGCTTTGAACTGTGATCCTCAGCACTCAGCCTCCTGAGTAGCTAGGATTATAGGTGTGAGCCACGGGCGCCCCACCTGAGATGAGGATTTTTAGTTCTCGTCACCATTAGAACAGCCCGGCACGTGACTCTTGGTTGTGCCTGGAGTCAGGAAGCTTGGCTGTGAGCCGTCTACATTTCACACCACCTCCTCCACTGCCCAGTGCCCATCCCACCTGAGCCTCACCATCACTGACTCATGGGTCACCTGCATCTCTGTCTCTGTCACCCGACCTGAGACAGAAAGGCTACCTCCCCACAGAGCTGTCCCGGGCAGTGATGGGTGCCAAGCCTTTGTCTCCTACCCATCGGGGTGAGATGGTGAAACAGGAGGCGGGTGACAGCAGAGACAAGAAGATTCCTAGCATCGCAGACACTTTCTCAGCCTCAAGTGCACAGCAACAGAAGAAGGGGAAGTAGGCTCAGCCTGCATTGAAGAACAGGTTGAGATGCATTCATTGAACCAACATCCAGGAGATGGCCGCCATGAGCTAGAGCAGCAAGGACTTCTGGGAAATAGAGGGACCCAGGACATGCTGCCTCCACTCCACCCCGACGGGGGGCAGACTCTGTGGGGCTAGTGGAAGGGGGGCGGGAGGCCCTGACGCACAGCCCTGACGCACGGAACCTTTGGGAGCCATGATGTTCCTGGAGGAGAAGCTGCAGGCATGGCCGGGAGGAAGGGGCAGCGCCCCAGGCGGAGGCGGGAGGGGTGGGCCACAGGGCACCGTGGCCAGCCACCGCTGAGGGCTTCACCCATCCAGGGACCAGGAGGGATGTATGCATGGGGACAGCACAGATTTGAGAGGCAGCTGAGCTCGGAGGTCTGGGTGAAGGAGGCTGGATGGGGAGAGGTTCACGGGGTGAACTTTGGCCTAGGGGAAGGTCAGTACTGGTGACCCATCTTCCTGACCCGACCTCAGAGACTCTAGTCCTGAAAGACTGAACATAAAACACATACCCACAACCCTCAAGGAGCAGCCAGCCGGGGGCCCACGGTCTGTGGGCTGTGGGTGGCTCAAGGTCCCTCTCTACCTTAGAAGCTGGGTGCGGGTGGGTCACTCTGTAATCCTAGCTACTCGGGAGGCTGAGAGAAGGAGGATTGCAAATCCAGGCCAGCTTGGGCAGGAAAAGTCTGTGAGATTCTTGTCACGGTAGAGGGAAGCTGAATGTGGGGCCTGTCCACTGTCATCCCAGCTCTAACTGGAAGCCGATCACCAGCTCAAGCACATACCCAGGCGGGAAGGGAGACTGAGGTCTCAAAAAAAAAAAACGAAAAACAAAGCAGCAAAAAAAGCACAGCTGGAGGGAGGCACGGTTCAGCGGCAGATCACCAGCCTAGCAAGTGTGAGGCCTTGAGTTAAAAAATCTCAGTACTAAAACAAGAAAAAAGAAAGAGCCTGGCAATCACCAGGCCGTTTTCGGAATCTGTGCAGAGGTAGAATGCGTGGGGAGAGGCCTGGGCTTTATCCTCACAACCAGGAGGGCAGAGCAGACCAGAACTTCGCTCTGTAGTTTAAGACTCCTGCTGCAACCATCCTCCGTGAGCACTGATAACATCCCCCCCCCGCCCCCCCGCCTTGGTGTTCAGATGTCTGTTCTTTCCAGAAGCGAAGGCTTGGGGGCCTCTGTTTCCCACGCCAGGGCCCGCGCTTGCGCCCCCCGCTGGACTCACAGAACTGCAGGCTGAGGCTCAGGAACGCGAGCAGGGCAGCCAGGGCCAGCAGCAGCAAGAAGCGATTGCGGAAAAGCATTATTGTTCTGTTCTACTTTCTCCTCATGGTTTCACCTCAAAGCGCGCGCCCGTCCTGCCAAAAGAGCAGAAGTGAAGAACAACAATGACAAAAGTATTCAGGGGGGAGAGAAAGCAATCGACCTGAAGCAATCAGCTGAACACCGTCCAGTTAGCCTATCTCCTTCCCGCCCCTGACAAGAGGCAGGGATCCCCAACCCTGAGGACAGTTAACATGTTTTCTTTTTTCTTTTTTTTTGTCGGCTGTGGGGCTTGAACTCTGGGCCTGGGCGCTGTCCCTCAGCTCTTCAGCTCAAGGCAGCTCACTACCACTTGAGCTACAGTGCCACTTCCAGCTTTCTGGTGGTTTATTGGAGATAGGAGTCTCACGGTCTCTCCTGTCCGGGCTGGCTTTGAACCTCGATCCTCAGATCTCAGCCTCCTGAGTAGCTAGGATTACAGGCGTGAGCCACCAGCGCCCAGCTCTCAGTTAACATGTTTTCTACCTTTGCCCTCTGCTAAGTCCAAGTGTCATCGCTCCCACAGGAAGAGAACAGTTCTCGAGTGCTGTGTTCACCTGTGATCATCACCAACGACTCATAGACATGCCATTTCCACAGAAAAGTCGGAGGCCTGTTTATTGAGCATTTACAATATGCCTGACAATGAAGTCTTCACAGGGATTGGCTCACAAGGATAGGGCCTTCTGCCTTTATACCTTCAGTCCCCTGACTCTAATTATGATCCTCCAGATCCACAGGTTCCAGACCTCCCTCCTCCGCTTAGGCGGTGACGGTCGCCACTGACATTCTTACGTAGCCGGTGCCACTGTGTCCACCTTGCTGATCCCTTTACAGTGAGCCAGCTGATGGGGAGAAGATCCTGCAACAGTAAGACTTATATGCATGGGGGCTTGTCTTCTTGTTTTTTTTTTTTTTTCCGTTGGTTAGCCATGGGGCTTGAACTCTGGGCCTGGGCGCTGTCCCTCAGCTTTTCAGCTCCAGGCGAGCGCTCTACCACTTTGATCCATGCACCACTTCCGGTTCTTGGGTGGTTCTTAGAGATAAGAGTTTCAGGGACTTTCCTGTCCTGGCTGGCTTTGAACCTCCATCCTCAGACCTCAGCCTCCTGAGTAGCTAGGATGACAGGCGTGAGCCATCAGCGCCCAGCTGTGGGGCTCATTTTGTGTTGCTACTCCTAGACTACTGAGGCTGCATGAGAGGGGGGCGGGCTGGTGTGCTGGAACCCAGCAAGCAGCCCCGGAAGGGGCTCTTTTCAAACAACCAGCTTGCTGGACAGCCGGCCAGGTGAATGGAGCCGCCCAGAGCACGCAGCCCCAGCCCAGCGCCGGCGGATGGCTCCTAGTGAAGTCTTCTCCCCATACCATGAGGAACCGGCCAGCACTCCACAGGCCCATGGCAAGCAAGGACACCAGCTGCTGTGTCTCAGCCAGCTTCAGTGCCGGGAGCTTCGTGGGAGAAGCACAAGGTGAGCTGACTGAAAGCCGGGGGCTGCTGGCCCTCCTGGCCGGGAAGTTCGATGGGATCGGATCGGGTCTCTCCCGCCAGCAGGCGGCATGGGCCGGTCTCTGCTCAGTGTCCATGGTTCTTCAATCCGCCTCATACTTTTTTGGGGGAAAGTGTCTATATTTAGGTCTAGATGTAAAAAACAAGGAGGGTGGAGCCGGGGAGCCAGATGGCTGGGCTGGTGTTAGTGCTGCTTAAACCACTGCCGATATTTGGACTCCTGTCATTTCTGCCTGACTGTAATTTTTCTTTTTTTTGGGGGGGGGTCCGGTCGTGGGGCCAGAACTCTGGGCCTGGGCGCTGTCCCTCAGCTCTTCAGCTCAAGGCTAGCGCTCTACCACTTGAGCCACAGCGCCACTTCCGGCTTTTTTCTTTTTGCTTATGTGGTGCTGAGGAATCGAACCCAGGGCCTCAGGCATGCAAAGCAAGCGCTCTACCACTGAGCCACCTTCCCAGCCCCTGACTGTAATTTTTCATTTGATGAATTACGGACATTCGATGCCCTCGCTCCCTCTCCTGGGTTTCTGGGTGGTCCTCTTTTAGACTCTTTCTGTATGTCGGTCCCGGGACTTGAACTCAGGACCTGGGCGCCATCCCTCAGCTCTTTTGCTCAAGGCGAGCACTCTACCACTTTGAGCCACAGCGCCACTTTTCCAGTTTTCTGGTGGTTCACTGGAGATAAGAGTCTCGTGGACTTTCCTACCTCGGCTGGCTTTGAACCATGATCTTCAGATCTCAGCCTCCTGAGTAGCTGGGATGACAGGCGGGAGCCACCGGCGCCATCCTCCTCAGGCCCTTCACCCCCAGACATCTGTTTGCCCCAAACACTCGTGGGGACACTGCTTTCCCAACTCCAGGCTGGACCTGGAGGGGTGCTCCATCCTCAGATGCCAGCCAGGCATGGTGTCACTGGTCCCTGTGCCAAACTCACACAGTTAAGACCTCAAACTCGGGACTCTGACAAGCGCTTTGAGTTCCCGCTGACACACAGACCAACAGAAAACCCAGCTAACTCCAGTGAGCCCCACAGTAAAGCTGAGCGGCTCAAGGAAACATTTTAGAGCCCAATCTTGAAAAGAGTCCAAGTGAATGCGCAGTTCCCACTACACTGTGGTAGACACTGCTTCTGAATGGAAAAGGAACATGCCAATGGCATGGGTTTTTTTGTTTTGTTTTGTTTTTAATGCAAGTGACTAGAAGTCTCCACAAAGTCTGAGCCGTTGGCGTGTGTGTGTGTGTGTGTGTGTTAGTCCTGGGGCTTGAATTTGGACACTCTCCCTAAGCTTTTGAGCTCAGGGCTGGTGTTCTACCACTTGAGTCACAGCGCCACTTCTGGTGGTTCATTGGAAATGAGGGTCTCACGGACTTTCCTGCCTGGGGGAGTAGCTAGGATTACAGGCGTGAGCACCAGAGCCCAGCTCCCATCCTGACCTCTCTTCCCCTTTCCTCCTAAGCACTGAGCTGATGATGAGGGTCAGGAACGCTGGATGATACCCATTTCCTGTTGGCCCACTGGCTCCGATTGCTTTGGAAGACAACCAACTCTGTGACCTTCCTGAAGCGTCATTCTTTTGCTTCTGTTAAGGCAGCCAGACCAGCTCGGCTACTGGACACGATCATTCTCATAGAGCGTGCGTGTGCTTGGGGTGGTTACAGGCGCACTCTGAGCTGCCCAGGCAGCCCTGGCGGGGCCTTGATTCAACGGACTGGACGCCACACTTAGATAAGACAAGAATGAGAACTCCATCACAGGAGCCTTTGTTCTTTGTGAACTCCGCTATTTGTTCTTATATACATGTCTGGGAAGATGATGGGGCAGGAGGTGACAGAAAAACCCCGGTTAACCCAGAGACCTCCCTGACATTCTCCTGAACAAGCCACGCAGCTTAGAAGCACGCCTCCAAGTGGGGTCATTCAGGGACTCAAAGACTTCGCTGGAGGCTGGGGGCTGGTGACTCAAGACTGTAATCCCAGCTACTGGGAAGGCTGAGATCTAAGGATCAAAGTTCTAAGCCAACCTGGGCAGAAAAGTCCATGAGACTCTTAATCTCCAATTAACTCCTAAACACACACACACACACACACACACACACACACACACACACACACACACACACACACACACACACACACACACACACACACACACACACACACTGGGAAGCCAAGATCCTTCCTTCCATTGCCTGCACTCTCCACAACCTGTCCTACCCCAGGTTGCTTGTCTCAGGGCACCCGATGGCGGCCACGCCCCCCAGTGTCCTTGCTACCGTGGTGGGAGGTGGAGGTGGAAGGGACCATCCTGCCCTTCTCCCAGGGGCTCTCTGGCCCGGGCACCCAGGCCCATGTCAATCACAGACCAGGCCTGGAGCAGCAGCAGCACCACCAAGTGAACCCTATCAAGACTGCTTTTACCTCCTGGCAGAGGCCCAGGTGGGAAGGATGAACAAAGGAGGCCTGAATAGAACTGAGGTTCTGTTAGGAGCTGCACAGAGGCCCGCCTGTGTCCACCGAACCATTATCCTAGCCTTGCCCTCCAGCTCCGGTGTGGAGCTGCAGCAGCCATCGAAGCATGTGGAGTCACGATGACAGGGTTAAGACTCAGCAGTGCGTGGCTCGCTCAGAAGCTAACTGGCCTTCAATTCCAAATCTGACATGGTTTGCAAACTACGCAGCATGGACCGCTTCCCTATCGCTTCCTTCCAAAAAGAATTTCAGGCTAATAACCTGCAGAGTTGTGATTTTTGTTTTTGGCAATACAGGGCAGGGGATGAGGGGTGGGGGGAAGGGGTTGGACTCAGGGTCTTGGTACTTGCTAGCCAGCGGGTGCTCTACCTCTTGAGCCAGGCCCTTAAACTTATTTATTTTGTGCCACCCCTGGGGCTTGAACTCAGGGCCTAGGTGTTGTCCCGGAGCTTTTTTGCTCAAGGTTAGTGCTCCACCACTTGAGCCACAATTCCACTTCTGGCTTTTTCTGAGTAGTTTATTAGAGATAAGAGTCTTGTTGACTTTCCTGGCTTCAAACTCAGCCTCACTTTTTTTTTTTTTTTTGGCCGGTCATGAGGCTTGAACCCGGCTTGGGCGCTATCCCTGTGCTCTTCAGCTCAAGGCGAGCGCTCTACCGCTTGAGCCACAACACCACTCCGGGTTTTCTAATGGTTTTATTGGAGATAAAAGAGTGTCTCTTTCTTCCCGGGCTGGCTTTGAACCGTGATCCTCAGATCTCAGCCTCCTGAGTAGCTAGGATGACAGGCGTGAGCCACCAGCATCCGGCTTCAGCCTCACTTCTGAGTAGCTAGGATTACAGAAGTGAGCCACTGATGCCTGGCTTAACTTAGTTTTATTTTTTTCTTTAGGTTTTGTTTTGTTTTTAGTAATTGCGTTACCTGTTTTTAAGATAAAGTTGAAGGCCCAACCTCAGAATGAGATCCTCCTTCCTCTGACTCCTGTGTAGACAGTACTGCAGGCATATACTACCATACAAGCTTATTGAGATGGGGTTGTTTTGCTTTTTCCTTAAGCTAGCCTTGAACTTCAACCCCTTCAATCTCAATCTGCAGTGCAGCTGGGTGCGAGTTAACACCCAGCCTAGCTTCTGTATTTTTTAAACCCATGAAATAGCTTTACATTTTTTTTTATTTGTCAAGTACAAGTTCCAACCACCGTCCTCCTTTGAGGGTCTCTCTCTCTAATTCCAGGCTAAACTTGTGAAGGCAGCTGATGATTTCTTGGGGCGAGAGAGTCAGCAACAACGAAGCCATGGAGCCAAGATCTTCACTTTTGCGGGCTCTTCAGTTACTTTCTCTGGCCTTATGCAAGAAGTGTGTGTTCCATCTGACTTTCTGAGGTTTTAGCAGCAGCCACATCTGAAACCGGTGTCCTGATTTTAGAATAGCTAGAGCAGCAGTAAGAATGCCCACAGAGCGGGGAACACACACTTGGCATAGATTTCCTCCCACTAGACTACTTAAAAAAAAAAAACCCTTACTATTTTCTTTTCAGATTTTTATTGTGCAAGCAAACTATATCAAACTAACAGTTTCTTAAGCGTCAAGGAGAGTGGATGAGATTTCAATTCGCAGCTGTAGAACTAGAAAGGCAAATGGCATAGAAAAAGGGTCTGAAAAAAAACAGGCACTAGTGGCTCATGCCTGTCTGAGATCTGAGGATCAGGGTTCAAAGCCAGCCCAGGGAAGGAAAGTCTGTGAGACTCTTCTCTCCAATGAACCATTGGAAAACCAGAAGTGGCGCTGTGGGTCAAGTGTAGAGTGCTCGCCCTGAGCACATAAGCTTAACCAGGTCCTGAGTTCAAGCCCTAGCCCTCACACATGTGCACATGTGCACACGCGCGCCAGTACATTTCCTGTACTGCGCGCAGAAGCAGGGTTTTGCACGGATGGGAGCTATAGCTACACATGTGGCATTCTGTCTAAAGAAGCCCACTACAGGGGGGCCCTGGGTACCCTGTGCTCCCTGTCGGGCCTCCAAGACCAGGAGCCAGACACTCGAGGGACCTCTACCACTGCCCATGGGCAGGAACACCATGCCTTCGAAACACGGTTCAGTTAACAGCTCTCACTCCTGGAGGGGGGCGGGGGCGGGGGCGGGGAGGCTGGCACAAGCCATCCTGCCACGGAGCTACCCAGATGTGGGCACCCAACAGTTTCCTGATTCAGATCCCAGAACACACTCTCAAAACAATTTTGTGTGTATGTACTTTGGCTAGATTCAAAGATTCATACCTATCATTCTAGCTACTCGGGAGGCATAGGTAGGAAGATCATCACACCCCCCCCCCCACTAAAAATAGACATTAACAAGACCTCATCCCAACAAGTGATGCTGGATGTTGTAGCTACGAATCAGGCAAAGGTAGGAAAGTATCAATCCAAGGCTACACCTGGAAAAAAGTGTCAGACTTTTCCTACTCCCTGCCCTGCCCCCCCAAGAAAACCCCTAAATCAGAGGGCTAGGGGCATAGATCAACTGCACACAAAGCGATGGAAAGGAAGAAGAGCGCAGGGCGCACTGCTCTAGATATTAACTTGGGGAAGAACCTGAATTGTGACGCAGTCCCAGGCCCTGGCTAAGGAAGCAGGGCCGAACTCCACATCTTAGTTCCACAAAGCGGGGTTCAGAGCTACACCCCAGGGCTCTCGGCCAGGGTTCCATCAGAAGTCTCGCTGCCAAATCTTCGGGCAGGGATGACAGCTCCAGCTCTCCACGCCAACCCCACGCCGCTGTGCCACAGTGCCAGACTCTATTCTTACAGCCTGAGTAATTCCTGGGCAAAGGACCAGACAACAACGGGGCGGGGGGTGCTCTCGACAGGGCGTGAGAGGTGAGAGTCCTCCCCACAGCCCTGTCCTGCTCGGCCGGCCGCGGCAGAGCTCCACGCTGCAGCCAAGCCTCCGTGAGACCCTGCCCAAACCATCCCGCGGGCTCTGCCGGGCCCGGCTCCTGGGGTGACCTGCATGGGAGCTGAGAACAGCTCCGGCTCTCGGGACACCAGCACCTCTGCTGCTAACTCAGCATCTGTGCACACACACAACCCCCTTTCCTGGCTTGGGGCTCACCTCTCCTGCCCGACCTTCAACTCAGCTCAGCTGCCACCTGCCTCTGGGGGCGATATCCTCCCAAATCAGCACCAGGGCACACATCCCCACCAACACCACAGTCCCCACCTGTCTCTTGGGCCACTTCCCCAGCCTTGGGGCATGGGGGCAGACACAGGAAAGGAAGGAGGTGGGGCACCAGTATGGACACCCACATGGAGAAGCCCTGCCCCGGCGCCTCCTGAAGGCATCTCCACGCCTCTTTTCTTTTCTTTCCTTTTTGTCGGTAGTGGGGCCTGAACTCTGGGTCTGGGCACTGCCCCTCAGCTCTTCAGCTCAAGACTAGTGCTCTAGTGCTTGAGCCACAGCACTACTTCCGGCTTTTTCTGCTTATGGGGTGCTGAGGAATCGAACTCAGCGCTTCATGCATGCAAGGCAAGCACTCTACCCCTGAGCCACCTTCCCAGTCCTCCATGCCTCTTTTCTTGCTAAGGTAAACCTGCTTTGGAAGGGGAATGCACCTGTCTTCTTCCTAGACATGCCACTGGACTACATTTCCCAGCCTACCTCTGGCAGAGATGTGATCACGTGCCTAAGCCCTGGCCAATGGAATGGCCAGGGCAGCAATTCAACACCTCTGAGCCTGGGCCTGTAAAATCCCCCCTGCCAGCCCCACTCCAACAACCTACTCCTGGTCCCTTCCTTTCAGCCTGGCAGCCCAAGTTCCCTACTCACTTCTTAGAGGACGGCCACCCCACCAGTGATGCTGTCAGGAACAGGCCCTTTTGGCCTTGTGTAAGCAAAACGTAAATGCCTACCGTATTTCAGCCAAGAAACGTTCTTTGATTTGTTTGATCAGCAGTGAGCAGCCCTGCTAAATAAAGCTCCCCGGGGCTCCTGGAACTGGGCGAGGAGGAATCCTTAGGCTAAAAGCTGAACCTTCCGGAATGAGCTGGGTGTTCTCTGGGGGGCCTGCCAGACACCGGGCCCCTGGGTGAGCAGTGACAATGCTGCAGGAATGGGAGCTGTGTGTGCTGTGGGGGGGAGGGCGGGGCGGGGGAACAAACCCTGTGGGCATCAGGTAGGAGGTCCGGCATCCAGCTGAGAAGCCCAACGCCCCTTCTTAAATCAGCAACCCCAGTAAAAACGCCAGTGAAAAGAACAGCGCTCTGCAATTACTCACTGTAAGCAGAATCGTTAAAAAACAGCACCCGCAAGGCAGCTGCTAGCTCGCTGGCTAGACCATCCGCAGACACCAGGGGAAGAGGCACAAAAGAAATCCGAAAATCATACACTGTGAACTTAGGAGGCGCCAGAGACTCGGGAATGAGGCTGAGTCGGCCTTGCTTAGATCTGCCTGCCTGCTGACGTCAGCCACCGCCTAAAATACACTTTCTTTCTCAAGAAGACAGCATTTTTTTTTTAAACTTTGGAAATGGAGCCAAAAAGAATAAGGAAACAAAGAAAACGACCAAGTCCATGCCAAGGCCTTCTACCACAAATGCCCCAAGCTTTGACTTTTTGGGTCTGTGTTTCCAGTAGAAACCGGGATGGAGATAGATTGTAACAAAGAGAGTCCCCCCACACTCCACACACCCCACAATAGCTTACATCTATAATCCCTGCCACTCAGGAGGTAGAGATTGGTAATTCAAGGCCAACCTGGACAAAAAGTTAGAGAGACCTCATCTCACCTGATTAGCTGGGTGTGGTGGGGTGCCGGTGGCCCCAGCTGTGTAGGAAGCTTAGGTAGAGGAAGATCACGATCAGATGCAGGACTTGGGCAAAAAAAATGACAGCTCCCATCTGAACAGTAACTAAAGCCCCAAAGGGGTAGATGTGTGACTCCAGGGGAAAAACACCTACCCAGCAAGAGCTCCAGGGCTGGAGTCTCAGTTCCACTTGTGGGTTTTTGGTGATCATTTGGAGATAAGCGTCTCCCCGACTTTCTTGCCAGGCTTCAAAGGACAGTCCTCAGATTTCAGCCTCCAGAGGAGCTAGAATTACTGGCCTGACAGCTCTGGGCCACAGGGTTGTTTTAAATCATTAACTTCTTCCTTGTCCCTGTGACCCCTCCCACCTTCACTGAGGAATCTTTTGGCCAAAAGGCAAATAAATGGCTTTCTCCCAACAACTGCCTTGTCCTGAGCAGGTGCGGAGGCTGAAATCTCCCCACTACCACTGGCAGGATCTGAAATAAACTCCCATCTTTTCCCCTGCAACCTGCACCACCCAGTGGTATCCTTCCTCCTCCCCCCCCAAAAAAAAACCTAGCAGGCATTAATTAACCTCTTCTAGAAAACACTCTCTGGGTAAGAGCCGTCCAGAGGACAGAGTCTATGTAGGAAAGATAAAACTCTGGGAGCCAGGAGCAAGACGGGTCCCCCTCACCCACAGGGAATTACAGCCCTCCCTGGATTCTGGGCCAGGGGGGAGGGGGATAAGCGCCCTAGCCCCCCCCTCCCCCAGGCTGCCGTTCCTGGGACAGCCTTTTACAGCGCAGAAGCACGTCCCCAAACACAGCTCCCCTCCCTAAACGACAAAGCCAGAAAGAAAGGGGAACTCCCAGCCTGCCAGCAGAGGCCACGGCAGTGACACCCACTGCTGTGGGGGAAAGTGGCACGGGAAATGGCCAAAGGGGTTCTGTGACCCTGTCTCTCCTCACCCACCTCTCAGCAAAGCAGCCTTAGCAGCTCTCCAGGGGTTCAGTCCCTCCTCTGACCCATAAGCCAGGTCCTTTCTGGAAATCTTGGGGTCCCCCACAACAGGTAGACCCCTAGTTGTCAGAGCCCCGCAGTGGACTGACCTCTTTCTCCCCTCCCCCCTCCTCCCCCTCACCCCCCCGCCCCACCCCATTCTGTTCCTGCTACCAATATGCACATGTATTTAACTCTGTTGAACTGAAAAGATAAGCGTTTGCAAGCTAAGGAAGCAGACTGGGAAAATATGGCTACAGGACTGACACGGATCTACTCTACTCAACCAACACTGAGTCACTCAGCAGGTGGGTAGTACCAGGCTGGGCTGAAGATCCCAGAGATGGCTTCATCCCCATCTGTGACCCAGAAGGGTGGACCCCTAGCAGTCAGACACTTAGCACAGAGAGGAACAAGGCCTTGCCACGGAATCTGTGGATATTCGGAGAGATCCCGGCACATCTAGTCGGCAATAAAGGAATATTCAACTCATCCTAGATGGGGGGTGGGGGTGGAGGTGGGCCGGCATGCCTGTCACCCTAGCTACTCAAGGGAAGCTGAGATCTCAGGATCATGGTTTAAACCCAGTCTGTGTAGGAAAGTCTCTGTGGGACTATCTCCAATGAAACACACACACAAGCCAGAAGTTGGAACTCTGGCTACAAGTAGTGGAGTGCCAGCCTGGAGCAGAAAAAGCTAAGGGACAGCAGCACCCAGACCCTGAGTTCAAGCCCCAGGAGCGGCAAGTGTGCATGCACAAGGAGCACACAGGTGTGTACGCAGTTCCACAGTCCTCACAGTCCGGAGTTCCAACCTTGTGCCCAGACAGCCACCTCCACCCTCCTCCTGAGGACCAGGGAGGGAGGGAGGGAGCGGGCCAGGAAAGGGCAAGGCCGCCGCAGCGGTCCCTGCGAACAGCCTCCGACGGGACCCCAGGCCTAGTCCGTTTCTGGAAAGGAGGGGGCGATTGTTTGCACTGGCTCTGCGTGGTCTCGGCGCGTCCTCACCTCTCCCTGGGGATGGAGAGAGGGGTGCCGGCAGCCCCCCAGCCACCCCCCCCAGATGTCTGTCCTGGGCACCCACAGCTCTTGAGCAGAAGCCCGCGGCATTCAACGTGACGGACGGACAGACAGACAGACAGACAGCCGCCGCCAGCGCAAGGGCGACCCGCTCCGCAGAAATGCACTTGTTTCTTGCCAGCAGAAGGCGAAAGCCGCGGGGTCTACACGGCCGGCCGCGCGGGGAGCCCCCTGCCCGAGGCCGGGCCAGCTCGGGATCACCGCGGGCCGGGGGTCCGGAGCCTCGGTTCCCGCCGGGCCAGAGAGGAGGGGGCGGAGGGGCGGGGACCAGGCCGGGGTGAGCGGGGGGTCCCGGCGAGGGCAGTTTGCAAACAGGGGCGGCGGAGGCAGGGACCCCAGCGCGCGTGGGGGCGCAGGGGGAGGAGGGGGCGCAGGGGG